TTTTGCTACGAAATAATGTGACGTGCTTGAGGGGGTTAGAGAGGAGCTTTATTTTAATTTAAAATGTTAATTCTATATATATTTGTACTTTCAACAGATGACAGATTATATACATATTTAATTATTTATAACCCAGTGAGAAACGATTCGACGTCAATTTAACGGCGTCGATGTCGACTCGACATCGTTTCGACGAGGATACGAGACGGGGCGCTGATGATCGCGGACGCTCACGCCTATTGTATTAGATGCGACAGCAAACCGTTTGCTGTGGTTTAGAAATGTATGGCAGCAAAATATTTTTAGCAAATTATGATTAGGTATAGTATCAAAAATTTGTTTCAGACTCGTCTCGAATGTTTGTTCAATCAGATGTCGACACCCGGTTACTTCGTCATAATTTCAACTTGACGGAAATTCCCATCCCGCAAGATCCACGTCAAATTATACAGTTTTCCCGTTCGATAATCACAATAAGCGTTAAGACTCCTGGTTACCGTGCGACGTTCTCGCGTATTTGAATAATGTATCATGTTATTTGCAAATGCTAATCGAAATTCTGTACCGGTTTGCCGTCTTGATACAGATTACTTAATCGGCGATGATTGGGTGGCCTTGCGCAATGTCATCTACAAGGAAATAGATTACGAGAGAGATTAGCGGTATAGCAACTCGCGTGCCGTACGACTTTTTTTTTTACTGTCGTGTATAGCTCAGAATATCATAACGAATGAATTCAGTTTTCAAACATGAATAACGATCAATTAACTAACCGTGCAACGAACAAGTGATCTAGCATCGATCCCAACGAGAAATGACTCGTCGATCGATGTCGAAACGATGTCAGATCGATATCGACACCTTCAAATTGATGTCGAATCGTTTCGACATCGATCGACGAATCTCACTTCTGGGACGCGTAATCTCGAAGAGTTTGGAGTTAAAAGTTAAAGAGAAATATATTATATCGGAGAAACTTTATTCTATATATACATCCAGAATGTATTTATCACATATGCATATAGAGGTGATTTATAACAAATTCGGTTGCTTACACTAGTGCGCACTGAGTGCACACTAAGGCCATAAACTAGTAGGTCCACTACGTCATTTGTTTCGTTTCGCGTCGATCCCTTCTGCGCGTCCGACATTGCTTTGGTCAAGAGGCTAATGAGAGAAAAGTTGTATGTGTGGTAGTGTAGCTTAAATGAGTACCCCAGTGAGAAATGATTCGTCGATCGTTGTCGAAATGATGTCGAAATGATGTCGAATCGACGTCAATTTGACGGTGTCGACGTCGACATGGCTTCGACATCGATCGACGAGTCATTTCTCGCTGGGACACCGCTGGATTGCTGACCAAAGCAATGGCGGAATACCACGTGATCGGGACCGCAAAGTTCAAAGGGACCGACAGAGAGTGGACCTACTAGTTATACTATGCTAAGGCTTGTTTATAGTCAATTCTTATATTTAACTTTGCCTTAAATACATGTTCAAAAAGTATTTAGCTAAAAAATGATCCGTATGGATGCTATACAAATCATTTTACCGGCTAAGAAGTATTTCAAGAGATATTTAAGACGATCCTTAAATATAAAACTTGGAATTTAAGACTGGAAACAAGCCGTATGCATTCAGTGCATACTAGTGCAAGCAACCCGAAATCGCTATTAGATTGTTATTCAAGTCACATATTATACATGTGCATATTAAGAGTTTATAGAACAAACTTGGCAGAAAATTCGCGAGTTTAGTTTCTTATAAAACCGCGAGTCATTATCCGCGAACTCGTTAAGTCGATTGATTGTAGGACAATTTGGACGATTCCGTAAAAGTGAAGTGGTTCACAGATTATTATGATATTTATAATACGTTAAAAGCCGCGTGATCTCTTTTCAAAGTAATGCGAGTCGAATTTTGTTAATGGAAGACACCAACACGCCAGCAGCTCGACCTAGACCCTCATATACCTTTCGGTAAAAGCGTATTCCGATCGACGCGACGGGCTACAATTGGCGCGATTATCTCGCGAGAATGCATTACGTTTCATTCGAACGAGCTTTTCGCCTTTGTTCGGGCGTAAAATGCAGCTTTAAGCACTAAGCCTTTGCGTGAGTGCATGCTCGCGTTCAAAGGGAGAAAATTGAGCGGAACTGTTGTCCGGGGCCGGACGTTTGCTCTCGACGTTAGCGACATGTCAAGACAAAAGAAAGAAAGAGAGAGGGAGAGAGAGGTTTGCTCTAGATTTTTGAATTAATCTTTGGCAAATCTTGGACGTTTCGCGAACTCGCCTCCTTGCGGAATAAAAATATTATCAATAATATTAGCAAGAACTTTACAGTTTTTTAAAAGAAACCGTGTAAAAAGAGTCTGACAGATTTGTTGGTTCCGATCTGGTTCAAGCATGTTAAAAATCGGCTCTGGATTAAACCACGTTTTTAATCCTAACTTATAACTAATTTTTTTTGCCTAATGGAACCGTCCGGTGATGGATAGCCTATTTTGAGAGAGTACAATTTTTAGTATGATCGATCGACGATTTGCGCTCAGGCAGGGACAAGAAGAAATTAATCAAGGTTGCTCAACGACAATATCCTTCTTAATGCGATTACATCTCCATGGGTACGGGGCGGAAGTTCCGTTAGAGCTAAGAAGGAAGATCATGGAAATAAGTACTCGTATAGTCTCTCTCTCTCTTCTCTCCTTTTTGATTGCGTCTGCATTTATTTACGCAATGCGAACGATAGTGAATAGATATTTAATAAAATGCACAGTAACGAAATGTGACAAAATTTTTTGCCGATTTACAACAAAGAATTGCATGATAACAATATAAATTATTGCTATCCACGGAGAAGTCATAAATATTGATCGACAATTCGATTATTTAATGTAAACATATACAGGGTGTTTCCGGGTTAAATAGCCAAACTTAAAATATGAATTTAGGACCTCAAAACAAACAAATATTTTATCTCGAAGTTTGCTCGCAAACGCTTCCTTGAAGAGATATCAACTTTTTAAATTTTGGGAATGAATATTATCGAAACGATTCAGATTTATCCTCTTTACTGCTTCACAGTAATCAATTTAATACAATAAATGTCGTTTTAAGCGTCTCTTTTCGTTTTTAGATATGCTTCTAAGTTATCTTGGTCAATTCTTTTACGGATCTATACACACATAGGTGATTTATATTTTAAGAATTTATCGAAAGTGGTAAAAGCGATTACACGCTAATACCACTTTACTATAATATATTCTGTTCGTAATAAACAATGCGGGCATATAAACACGATTTAGATATTATTATTCGTTCACACGATTCGTTCACACATTGATGCGCGGGATCATCGCTTAATCAAATCGCTCCGTCCTTTTGCAGAAACGCTGCATTTTGTAAATTTATTCCGTATTATACGAAGGAAGGAACCAGTGTACATATAGGCAGAAAGATAACACATGCCGCTCAGAGGGGAAACCGGTGAAAAAAATGCGATATATGACGCACTCATACCAGCGGGTTAGTTCCATAACTGCATTGTGCGTTATTTAGAGCACCGGTAGCGAGGTGCTTTTAGGCACGTAATTCGATAGTCAACTTTCGGAAATGCGGCAAGGTGACATTAACACGGTGACGCGACTGAGTCGATCGTCAAGCTGACAGGAACGGTGAACCAGAGCTTTAAAAAAAATGATTCCCGAACAATTTTTGTAATTCCGACTGCCTAAAGTTTCACAGGCAGCGCGATATCAGGACAAGTGAATCAATTGTCGCGCAGAGGGAACAGTGTTATTCTCATTTTCGCTCTCTAGGAAATTATATGTAAAATTCCACTTTCATTTTTATTTATCGCCATTGTGTAAAAAATAATAACATAATATCAGCTTTATGTAAAAGATAATAGTATACGCCAAAATTAATTATAAATCTAACGCCGTTTAATGCAGAAATATGCGCGTTAATAAGCATTAATGAGTAACTTTCAACGAGCAGTGGAACAATTTTCAATTATGCTAACAAACTTCGGAATATCGTGTCACGATTTTCTAATGGAGTCGGTAAGTCCGAGTTATTTCAGCTGGAAAAAGCGCGCGTATCTTAACGTAAACTTTGACGATACTTTAACCATTTCTTAGGGGCTACATGCGCACTTTTCGCCCTCTAATTTGCCCGCCTTTTAACTTCGCTTCCTTCTTGTACGGACGACACTTTTCCGGAAGCAGCGCATCTCCTTCCACTCACTCCCGCTTCCTAGGTAGCACAATAATACCGTTTTACCCCGTCACACAATGGCTCCTTGTCTTAAGATTCAAGAATTTTTCGCAAGACTCTTCCTTTCTAGATAGACGTCCGATGGACGGAGAAATAATCGGATCCCGTTTGATCGACTTACATCAAGAATTTCAACTTTAGCGATCAGAATAAAGTCGTATTACGATTCAACGTTAATTGAATTGCTAATAACGGTTGAGAATCAGCATTTAATTGTGATAATATCCTTCTAATAATACCGTGAAATGAGCGTGAAATTAATGTGGTAGGCTTAAAAAAAGAACAGAGAGTTTTTAAGTATTTCCCTGATGGCGCAATTTACTTAGGAAAAAAAATTGGAAGATACATCACGCATATTGCTCTATAAAAATCAATGCTTTTGATATCTCTATACTCTATTCATTTGTCTTCAATTGATGATTACTGCACCATATTTTAATACGAGAATTAATTATCGCATTTTTTTACTTCATTTACATGCTTACTTAAATGTATTATATACCTTTTTAGGGGAAAACAGATGAAGGAAAAAAGTAGATATTATATATTGATTTAATCTACATTTGCATATTGCAATAAAAATCATGGAAAATCTCAGAAAACTTATAAATTTGTTTACGAATAAAACGGAATGTTATTTTGACTGCTTTGATAGTTTACTTTCTTTTTTGTTAAATTGAGTGTCGTTTTTAAATGGACTCGTTTGCACTTGTCTTTGCAGGTGCATTTCTGGTTCCCTACTGCATAATGTTAGTGGTCGGCGGGATTCCCCTGTTTTACATGGAGCTCGCTCTCGGTCAATTCAACAGGAAGGGTGCTATCACTTGCTGGGGTCGACTGGTACCGCTTTTCAAAGGTAAGTGTAATAATATATCACAAACGTGACAAAGTATATCGAATTTCCTAATTCCTTACACATTTGTCTGGTATAATAACAAAGATATAATACGAGTGAGAAATGACTCGTCGATCGACGTCGATTCGACATCGTTTCGATGACTCGAAATGTTCGAGCAACTTAAATGCAATTGCTTGAAGGTCAACGTGCATATGTATGCCGGTAAAATGAGAGGAAGAAGCAGTAAAGTTTTTCTTTACATCTTCGTATTTGCACAATTATTATTTTAATCTAATTCTAAAATGTAACGTTTTACTTTTCAGTGAATATCGAGCATCAGTTACATTGCCTTCATGTTTTTACAATTTCTCACTCAACAATGTATCTCACACATGTGTTATATTACATTTACATTGTTGAGTGAGAAATTGTAACATAAATGCAATGCAATTGATGCTCGGTGTTTACTGGGTTACGATTTCCAAGTACATTTTGCGTACATAAATCATAAGTGTCGCGTGTATAATCATTTGGCGTAAATATACACGTAAATCTGAAGCTGAAGAGATAAAACAAGTAATGTCAAGCTCTCAGGAGCAAATCGATTTTTACAAACTAATAGCAATGTTGTATCAATGGTTGCATTATTAAAAAAATCATGCATTAGCTGTTCAATCATATGAACAGTCGCAAGTGCTAAATTTGAAACGTAATAGTGTCCGGCGACATAAACGCGGTCAGATATTGATTTGTCAATAGTCACACAACTCGGCTTAATCTTTTTCCCGTTTAGTGTCAGTTCTAGTGACAAAATCTCGCGACCGTTGAACTTAAGGATGGAGTACAGTAAAACCTGTCGCTTCTTTCGGTTTCTTTCTCCTTCGATTACCATTTCTATCGTCGAACGTACGGCTACGTTTAAAAGTGAATAACTTCTCGCGTGCGAGGCGATGCGTAACGGGGCCGACCATTGAAACCGCTCACGCACGTGCCAGTCGTGCGCCGCGGGATTCATGAGACATACATCTCGAAACGAATACGACAGGTGTATATATTGTGTATATGTGTGAGACACACACACACACACACACACACAATATATACTGGAGCGCGCGAACCGTCCGAGAAAGTCTTTTCAGGAGCTTAAGAGCCGGAACGGCCCTCTTTACTCTCATTATATCCTACCCCGCTTTCTTTCTTCCTCGGTCCATGGACAGGGTGGGACATTGGCATTCCAAGCCGGTCGCCTTTCTACCCGATCTTCCCCCTTTTCCAGCCCGATCGCCCGATCTTGAGACGCGCGCGAGACCGAATCCGTCCGTCGCGAAATGGAACAATGCACATGCACACGAGTATATATATTTAATTAAAATAATAGAAAAAAGTCCTCTGTTATGAGATAGACTCCTAAATATGAGATAGCGAAGTTTCTGCTAAATTAATAGGCATCGTCTGTTGGTTCCACCATGAATTTATTGCCCTTGGAGTGAAATCTCTGTTTAGTGGAAAATTCATTGTTAGATCGTGTAATCGTTGCGAAAAGAGATTTGTGATTCAGTTTGGACGTTGAAAACCTATTATTTTATGTTAGAATCCTCATAACAGAGAACTTTCCTCTATATATACACCATTACGTATCGACTGATCTCTTTTGCAATGTCGTATCTCGATTTCATGTAATGTATTTTCGGTTTTCCTTCTTAAACGCTCATTCTGGACCAGACCCTTGCGAAAGAGATCAGTCGATATATTACATACATGTACCAAAATAACATATTGCTACATACATGTGAGCGTGTTTATACCCTCACTGCCTCGTAGATCTTTCCCGAGCGCGCGGCTACTTTCGACGCGCGTACATAAATCCAAGGGAATCGCAGAGAGACGCGGGAGGTGCTCTCCGTGTAAAGAGCATCCATTTCCGCCGATTTCCAACTTCATTTCCACAGCCACAATTTCGCTCCGTCCGCGTCCGCCCGCCCGCCCGTCCGCTGATCGCCGTATGATCGATCGAGATCCTCCGTCTCGCCGCGATTCTGCGTCGCGCGATAAACGTATGCACGTATAACGCACGTACGTATTGTGATATGCAGCGATATCTCGCCTACCGCGGTAGAGAAGGTCACAATGTCATTTGCATCGGAGACACGCGGACTCGTGCGCGCGCGAGAAACAATATCGTCGCAGGAACTCAGGAAATAAAAATACAGCAATCCATTTCGAGGCCCACAATCAGTAATCGAATTATTTGGATTGTTCCTAACTCTAATCTTTTACGAATTTTACCCCGCGTAACTAAAAATCGCAATTAGCTATTCTATCTATACCCAAGATTTTAAAGTAATACTAATCAATTCTCTCAATTAGTTCTGTCGATATTCAATAACGCGAAGATAATTTTCACTGACGCACTAACCGAAATATCAAGTTGCTTAACTACAAAAAACGTCAAAATTTTTCCCAGAGTAGAGTTACGAACAATCCAAATAATTAGATTACTAATTGTGGGCCCCAAAATGGGTTGCAACTGTCTTTTTTTTCCCCAGAGAAGGTCGGTGCGTTTCTAACGTTTCTGCACCCTCAGAAAGGATGTCTGTTACCGAGACAAAAAAATTCTTGACGCATTTATATTTCTCACAACCTCATTTAGTATAAAAATAGGACAATATCAAAACAAAATCAATAATTCTTATTCTCCTTTATCGAATTAAAAAAGATTGACTTACTATATTGGGACAAAAGTAACTTATACACAGTTGGAAAATTTGTGTGTTCTTGTTAAAAAAAAACACCAGTTAAAATTTTTGTGTTAAATGTTTAACACATTCATGTGTTAATTTAACATATTGCTCTTGTGTTAATTGACCTCAAATGTAAAATTATTAAAATAACTTACAACGCACGAAGTTGGCACCGCGATATTCGACAAAAGACGATACGTACTATCATTTTATTCTAGATTTTAGAATTTTTCATTTAAGATTAAAGTGTATTCCTTTCTTTATAATAAATATGATTGGGCGCTATATCAATCCTATTTTATGATACATTAAAGTGTAATAGCATTGGATCTGGAAATTTTTTCTGTGGGTGTGCCGCGCGCTGTCCCGATTTTTCTCGCGCCTTCGCGATTATCGCGCTAATCTATTTAGTGACCTCGATCCTTGCACTTCTGAGATCGACTTGACGCACACGGACTGTCAGTGAGGAAGTTACAGTAAATAAAAAAATGCTAGAGGATACTCGGGGCAGTAAAATTTCTGCAATAAAAGTATAGAGGAAAGTCCTCTATTATGAGATAGGTTTCTATTATAATCTGAGATAGCAGGTTTTCAACACCCAAATTCAATCACAAGTCTTTTTACGCAACGATTACACGATGTAACAATGCATTTTCGCTCCAAGGGCAATAAATATTTTCAATTTTAAGTCTATTGCGAAAACTAATCGGCTCAGGTATTATTTTTCGCAATAGACTTAAAATTAAAATTATTTAGACACCAACATCCTGTCTTGGCTCTTACTCCTTTATCACTTCGTGTTTGTATTTTCACATTGGAGCTTTGTGAATTTTATTAATTGTCCAAATATTTCTTTCCGAGAAGATAGTTTTGTCACCGTACGACGAAATCGTTCGGCGGTATGAAAGCACGAATTGTTCTTGATCAGGTACCGGATACGCGGTCGTCCTAATCGCGTTTTACGTTGATTTCTACTATAACGTCATCATCGCCTGGTCGCTTCGCTATTTCTTCGCCTCGTTCACCACGATGCTGCCGTGGACCTCCTGCGACAACGACTGGAACACGCCGCTGTGCCGCGAGTTCGACGCGAACGTCTCGTACGCGCTCGAGGATATGACCAGCGAGTTGAATGAGAATTTTGGAAACACCACCCGGATGCTGGTCGATATAGGATCGGATGTCGCTGTTCTGAGTACAGCGGATAACCATACGAGCGCGGCGCATGAATACTTCAAGTGAGTTCGACGTCCGTCGCTTCGTTTGCGACAAGAAAATCGTCTCTTTGACTTGAACGCTTAATATTTATATATTTGGCAAACGGTTAGGGTTTTTAGAAAACCTTAAGGGCGGTATGCATGGCCCGTTCTTATATTTTGAGATCAACTTAAGTGTAATACGAAGGGTAAACCGCTGAGGATATTGTGGATAGTTTTAGAATTTTAGAATTAGTTTGGGCATTAGAGCCTTGTGAATTTTATTAATTGTTCAAATATTTTTTTCTGAGAAGATAGTTTTGTCACCGTATGATAGCACGAAAATTTCAAGACGTTATATATGGGTTTTTGGACTTTTGTCGCAATTCTTGAGAATTTAACATGAACGTGTCATCGTATTAAACCTTTCTTCTTTTCACGCGAATTGTTCATGCGACATCTTCATGAATTACAAAACTTTTGTCCCCTAAGTCGCGCTATTCTGGAGCTGCACCAAAGCGAGGGCTTACACGATCTTGGTGCCATTAAGTGGGACATCGCGCTATGCTTGCTCGTGGTCTATCTGGTCTGCTATTTTTCCCTGTGGAAGGGCATCTCGACTTCCGGCAAGGTAAGCTGAATGCCTCGTCAGACATTCGAGATCCTAAAGACGGGCGAGTGGGTCTCCACGAGATATCTTCTCGCGAAGGCTCTGTAGCGAAGCGCTGTATATTTATAAAGCTCAGAGCTCTATCAAAGCGTGCCATCTGCATATATGCATGTGTGGAGTATTTTAAATCGCGAGGATGCAATTACAGGGCGATTCTTTCGTGTTGCAGGTAGTCTGGTTTACCGCCCTTTTCCCTTACGCAGTCCTGCTGATTTTGCTGATAAGGGGTGTCACCCTGCCGGGCAGCACCGAGGGGATCCGTTATTATCTCAGTCCAAATTTCAATGTTATCACAAAAGCAGAGGTACGTGTGATGTTTCGGTGTGCGCGTGCAACGCTTGAAATATTTGCTGTGGCTTTTAAGAGGCGATTTTTCAATCTATTTCGTTCAACCTCTATGCTTGTGTACGTGACATAAATAAACGTTTTATTTAAATCCACGTAATTTGCGGTAAATAAACTTAAATAGAATTAATAGCCAGGATTGATTAACTGAATTAACACGTCGATAATTAGTGATTTGAAGTAATTTATCATTCCGTTTAATTACGCAACTGAATCTCGTGTGATTAATGATGAAAACATAACGTCAAGTATTGGATAAAATACTGGAGCTATTTAGGCGTTATTGCAATGAAGAAAACATCACTCTTCCATAACGAGACACTGAACAATTTTTCGTTCACAATACGGAAGTTTTTTTATTTCTTTTTTTTTTGTTTTTAAATAAAATCGTACGGAAAGGAAAGCACCGGCCGCGTTCGCGATTGTTTTATTGCCGTTGGCCTGGATTACCATGAGCCACGACGTATCCCCGCGGCAGTGACAAAAGGAGAAAACTTCGGGAGTTAATGCGTTTACAGGATCGCGAGCAGGTTCGGTAGGAGTCGGGAGGAGAGGTCGGGCATGGGAAGGGCCGAGGTATGGGAAAAATGGGGTGAGGAGGAACGTGCAGGGTTAACTGACGACGGTGAAAATGGAAACTCTGTGTAGCTGTCATAATGACCATTAGAGTTCGGTAGAGCACGCGCCCAGAACGTTAGAACGCGCGCCGACCCTCCGTGCTTCGCGCACGGAATGCATTCCGCCGCGGCCGCCGTCGCCGCCGCCGATGGCGACGACGACGACGACGACGACTTAGCGTCGATGCTAAAGTGGGTTTTATATCCGGTGAGAAAGTGGGTTTGTTGATCACCGCTAATCCGTGGATATACGACAAGAATCAGACTGATGTATTGGCCGATGCTCCCCTTTTCTTCCACTTCGGACCGCGCATCCTCCTCTTTTTTTTCGCAAATGCAGCACATATTTAATTTTTTTTTTATAGGAAGATGTATATGTCGTACGCGTGAATATGTAATTAATGTACTTGCCGCAACGACTTGTGGATACTTGAAACAATGAAAACTGAAGCTTCCAAACTATGAGATCGAAACGTTTGACTTTTCAAATCTATCAAACGATATATGATTTATTATTTCCGCATCTAATATCTGGCGTTTGGCTCTTATTGCCCTTCCTTGCGTCCACCAGTTTGATATTTATTTATAGAGTCTTATAAATATAGTTATATTACGCTATGTGCGTGGATTCTTAAAATGCGTGTGGTAGCATTTTACTGATTATTATTGATAACGTGAAGATATTAATAGGCTCGATTAATCAATTTGAAGAAACAAAAGAATGAAATAAATAATTTACGATTACTATTTTTTACAGAACTTTGAGATATTTGTAGTATAAGATAAGAAAACAAGAGCTTGAAGAGAGTTCTCTTGAAAGTAACACGTAATTGATAATTTTTCACCGACTTGTTTATTATATTACGTTAGAAAGTAAAGGAACACGTTTTATCACTTCTGCGAGAGTATTCTTTCCGTTTCCTTTTAGGTATGGGTGGACGCGGCGACGCAGGTATTTTTCTCCCTAGGACCGGGATTCGGAGTGTTGCTAGCCTACGCGAGCTACAACAAGTATCACAACAACGTTTACAAGTAAGAATGCCGGGATCTCTTCCCGCGCGATCTCGCATCTGTGTCTGACACCCCGTGTCCTTCGCAGGGACGCCCTGCTGACGAGCTTGATCAACAGCGCAACATCCTTCGTCGCCGGATTCGTCATATTCTCGGTGCTCGGTTACATGGCGCGCGCCAGCGGCAAGTCCATCCAGGACGTCGCCACGGAAGGACCCGGTCTGGTTTTCATCGTCTATCCGGCGGCCATCGCTACGATGCCCGGCTCGACATTCTGGGCGCTCATCTTCTTCATGATGTTACTCACACTCGGCTTAGACAGCTCAGTGCGTTTCAGAATACATTTTTACCACACGAGAGTATTTCATCAACAATATTTTCGTATATTGTTTTATCTTATTGACAAAAGTTTTTCACTTTGGCGACAAAATTTTTTCGTGCAAAGCTGCCGCTCGATATTAAATGTATTATGCTGAAAGTACTTTTCCTTTAAGCAACGGAGCGCTTCGCTTGTGAATAATTAAAAGAAGAATTGACGTGATTTTATAGTTCGGAGGTTCGGAGGCAATTATAACGGCACTCAGCGACGAGTTTCCACTAATCGGCAACAATCGTGAGATCTTTGTGGCGTGCTTGTTCACTCTATATTTCCTGGTCGGATTGGCTTCTTGCTCACAGGTAGATATTTCAATTCTCGATAAACACCATCCAGCGAGAAATATATTATACATGTATATATTATACATATATAGGAAATTTAAAACGAACTTTCCGAACATCCTATTAAAATCTTAAGTATCCCCGTATATTTATATAAATAACGCATAATGAAATCAATATTAGAAATACATTGCACCGCGCCATTACTGCAATGTTACATTGTAATATGTCTGAAGGAGGACACTTCAATGTTACTTCAAGCTTGCAACAACGTTGCTGAACCATTTCGCAACCTCCATGCAATGTTGCAATGTTGCAGTGAAGGGTGTATGCAATGTTTCTGCAATCTTTCGGTGCTGCATGGGTATAAACAGATTATTGCTTTTCGATATAGGGCGGGTTTTACTTTTTCCATTTGTTGGATCGATACGCGGCCGGATACTCGATGCTGTTCGCCGTTCTGGCAGAAACAATCGCGGTCAGCTGGATCTACGGAACGGACCGATTTTGCGACGACATCAAAGACATGATCGGATTCAAACCCGGTATTTACTGGCGTGTATGCTGGAAATTCGCAGCACCACTTTTCCTTATGGTACGTCACAATATGATCAACGTATTCGAAAATTATATGCGATGGCTCCAGAAGTGAAGAATCATTATTGTTTAGAAAATAAAAATAATAATGCCAATAATAATTCTAATGCAGTTTTCTTATTAAAAAAGTTCTTTCTATGTCAATCTCGATTTCCTTTTGTTTTAACTTCAGTTACAATTTTGACGAGAAGAAGTTACAAACTTTTTCCTCAATCTCCGCTCTAAGGACTAAATTTATTTTATTTTTAAAGCTTATTTATTGATGCACTTTGTTTTTATTACAATGGAATATTTTATTAATCAAAATTTAATAATAAAAATCGAGATCGAATCGTTCTGCTTAATGAGCAAGTGCTCTAATACTATGTCAATGTAATATCTCAATTATAATAGCCATTGTATTTATTATACGTTTGTTTTTTATTTGTTTCTAGTTCATTATCGTCTATGGTCTGATGGGCTATGAACCTTTATCATACGAGGGCTACGTTTATCCGGTTTGGGCAAATATATTAGGCTGGCTGATCGCAGGCTCTTCTATCGTTATGATCCCAGGTATGGCGATCTACAAAATCTGCACCACACCCGGAACCTTTGTTCAAGTAAGTAATTTTTATTGAAATTTTAACACAATTATACATATAGTATTTAAATTTCTCTAATTTAAAAATCAACAGACGAAATTGTGTGTATTTATTATTAGAAAAATATTAATAGAGGAAGGAATGGAGCTTTTGCTTTTTTTTTAAAGGAATATAATTTGTATAATTAAGTTAAAATTAATAATCATGTCTGGATATAGATCACGCCAGTTTATTAGCACACAAATTTATGGAAAATATTATTTGAGGATTAATTGATTAAACGTTGATAAATTAATTATGAAAGAATTTTATCAAATTGTTTAAATTATATTTGTGGTTGGCTATTTTCCGTGAGAGACTAACGCGGTTTACACATGCGTGAAATTTATCAACGCAGAGATTGAAGATCCTAACGACACCATGGCGAGACACGCAGCATCAGAGGAACGATCTGTCCTCGGTGGCGAACGGCGCGATTCGACGAAGCTTCCTGGCCGAGCAAGATTTCGAAATTACCAAGGACCACGAGTTAACTAAGGAACAGACGGAGGTAATGATTCAATCTAGAGAGGGTGTCAAGGGGAACGATCCACCCCCCGAACCAGTCTAGGACAGTGCGGTTGTGATTTTGCACGGTGCCCGGTTCCAAGTATACCTCTGCTAGAGCACGATCGCCGAGCAAGGTCCCACGACGGCGAGTAACAATCCACCGATCGAACAAGACAAGGATCTTATCACGAATCGATACACGACTCGAAAAGCACCCCACACTTGAATCTTAGGGTACCGGCTTGATTGACGACGTGGGACGGGGTCTCCTCTCTCGGTTTGTGGACGAGATCCCGCGACTCGACGTTCGCGCGTCGGATTCACTTTGTTCCTTCGTTAACGGAATTAGAATCTATCCTGGTCCGCGTGTTCTGTCGCGATGAAAACTGTTGCGCGGATGCAGGAAAACAATGAAGAAAGTGGATATATCGTCGCGACGTAATATCGTCGTCAACCATGCTTTCCCTCGGATGGGCCTAACCGGACCTCCCCTAGCGATAATCCCCATCCTGTAAATAATAACAATCGCGCGTCACGGAGCACGACGAATCGCATGATACTGGTGATACGTCTTGGCGAACAAGCAATTGATGTTCACGCTTCTTCTAACGGACAATGTTCGTCACAAACGAGAACTGTTGTCGTAAGCGAGAGCTACACGATCCTACCTACTTTGGATGACAGCTTTAAACCTAAGAGAATCATTTGCGTGCGAGGAGTCTAATTTAGTGTAGGGTGTTTCAGCCTTTGTAATAAATCGACTCGGTACCTTCCCGGAGCGTGGCAACTAATACACCCGCTTTGAGGCAACTAACTGAGAGCCTTCGGTAAATTCCCCCCTCTGTGTAAAAGATTCCCCCGATTCGTTTCGCGACATCGCGTTAAAACGAACTTTGTTGTTTAATAATATTGTTTGGTTTTTCAGACCGACGCGAGAGAGTTATGCGTAAAATATGTTCACTTCATATAAAGCTGTTATAGAACAGAGATTATAATATTAAGATATCATATAGGAGAAGATTACGCGACTCGGTTAATCAGCTGTGACTGACGATTCCCTCGCTCGACCACGTTGGTGTCTATAAAATAGAAAGTGGGAGGGAATTGTGAGTTAACCGCGATTAATCGGCGTCGGTGTTTTAGACGGTGGATTAGGCGAATTATATTTCCGTTTGACCAGGCCGCCAGGCTTCCGTAAGCCTGGGCGATAAATGCTGTGTGGACTATACGCAAAATATAATCACCGGTAAAATGTTAAGCAATTTACTAGGTCTTATTGCCGGTGTGAATACGCTTCATCGATATCCCGCTCAGTCCTGTGTCAAACATCGTAGCATAAAACGATGCGTTTTTTTTTAAATATAGATACGATTTCCCGATCATTCGGTTCACTCACTCTGTAATCTAGTCATCTACTTCCTTACACATTCGTTAAAGATCCGAGAATATGTTATGTAATTTTTTTTCATAGAGATTCCCCGCAAAATTGAACCACGAGTTCATCTATCTCGATATAGATCGGTTACTTTACATTATCTGTGTTTAAACCGGCTCCGCACGACCTGTTTGTTCGCCGAATATTACGTGGACTTTACTACACCGAGATCGGAGATTTGTTCCATTACGGCGTGGGACGTACACTAGAAATCACTGATGCCTCCCCATATGAATTTAGGCACACGTAGAACACATATATTTTCCATGTATGTATATGCAAAATATGTAAATGTGTCGATATGTACACAAATTCACATGAAAAGGCATCGGTGATTCCTAGTGTACAACGTATCAATCGTCAACGTGTAATCCGGTACAAACGGTATCTTCATTTTTCACGTATACACGTAATGTCAGGCGTCACTTGATTTTTTAATTATCGAACGTAGAAACATGCATTGCATTCGACGCAACGAATGTTAAATAGCCATAATATTTACTTTATACACTTAATTCCCCTTGCAATTCAAAAAAGTTTCGATAGTCTAGTGTTAAATATTTTTACATCTAAATCATTTCTGATTCAATTATTGTCGATATTATTTACGTAACGTTTTATTTCTGTCATTTCAAGATTTTAATACAGATTTAAAAATGTGTATCCTCCAAGCATCATTGGTTAACTATTTTTATTCGCAAGTTTGGGTTTTTAAGAAAATACATAGAAGATTATTGTGCTAAAAGATTCTTTTTATAAGAGCTTAATTCTGCTTAGAAAGAAATAACTTTGCAAAAGATTAACTATCCAAACCATCTTCGCAAGTGAGCGATGATTAAATATTTTATTCTCAATTTAATATATTATTTGAAGAATCATATGATACACGGAGAAAATTTTCTCTTGAAATTTATCCTGAAAATCATATAATCGTGAGACAACACGACTTTTCGAAGAATTTTACGTGAGTTTTTGCAATTTTACCAAACATTTTACTAGAAAAATGTATCCTAAGTATAATTACTAGTAAAAAGTATTGTAAAATTAAGAAAAACCCTCATAAAGTTCTTCATAATGCCACGTTGTCTCGCGATTACATGATTTTCAGGGTTAAAAGAACATTCTCTCCGTGTATAATTACCGCGACATTAGACTGAATCCAACTCGCGAGGATTGCAAAGGATTAAATATGTGCCATGTGAATGCGGGTCGATTCGCGGATAAACGTGTCGTGTGAGTGTTAGCGATGCGAGAATCAGTCGCAATCTTCAGTAATTTCACAGAGATCACAGCACTTTCCATAGAGATCATAACACTTAACGAGTATTCAAACCCTAACGTGTGCGTGCTCGTAACTCTATTTGTCTATCTACTTCCACACTTGTGCGTCATCGCGCGGTAACGGGGACGAATAAATCGTTTCCTAATTCTCATAATATCGCGCGGCGCGTGATCTCCCCTTTGTTCAACGATGCAACGCCTTCATTGCGATAGGACCGTTCGTCATTTATCTAGTATTAGCCAGGGCCAGTAGAATTGATCGATACTGCGTAGGTATCCGACGGATGTTCTCAGATACGTAAACATCCCCCGGGAGATGAACATTTGCAGGCAACTGTCCGAGATACAGTTTTTGTCTTTAGTTCTTTCAATATCTAAATTAATTTGGATGATTTGAATAATTGAAAAAGGTTTTAATCGTGTATCTATATCTTCCTTCTTACGGCTAACATAGCCATAAGTAGCGTAAACATTTGGCTACACGCCACCCAAGTAGAACATGTTGCTTTTTTTCACACGTTCCTAAACGTTTATAAAACATCGCAAGATATTGTTAGGAATAAATTTCTTATAATAAATA